CTGCTTTAGGTAATCATAGCTCTAGGAAGTTTCAGAAGTTGTATTTTCATTCAAAGTCAAATACTTCTACAACATACTATGCAAGTCTACACAAAATCTATATGGAGAGATACATTCCTGATTGAACCTTTAAAGCCTTCTGCTTAATCAGCACCATACTTAGGCTTCTAATCAATGTAAAGGTGGGTGGAAGGGGGGGTAGCCTGCCTGACAAATTACACAGAGTGAGTTGTGCCTGGGCTTCAGAAATAACCTCACAGCGGCTCGGTTTCCTGACAGGCTTCACTCATGAATTACGCAGCCAACATCGCGGCTCTCTCGGGAGAAAAGTTCCTGCTGGGGTGTCGAGAGTTTGCGTCAGTTGTTTGTTCTCGCAGACCTTGATAAAAACTCATCGCCTTCACCTCCTCCTCTGTGACTGTACTTTAAGACATAAATGCCTTTCAAGTCTGGGCTGTGTGTTTGGATTTGAATAGCCTGACAAAGAAAGCAGAAGTTGTGGTGTGAATAGTTGAGCGGTTGTGTGGGCTGTCTGGCCTCCTGAGATTATATTGTTTTGATTAAGTTTTGCATGACATGGTAACATTTTGTGATTGACAAAGGCAGTGTACAGAAAGCCCCTCGACCATGTCGGTCACTGTCCAGACTGCTCATTGTGGATTAGACCACCATGCCTCATTCAGTCCACTTCAGCATCTTTGGTCCTGAGAGAGGCTCCATAATAGAAAAGCAGAAACTGGGGCACCCATGTTTCAGAAATCCTTTAGTGTGTATGTGTGAGACTCAGGCCACATCAACTATTAATGCTCTGCAGACCGCAACCTCATTCAGACATACGTTCAAAGGGAAAGTAACCAGCAGTCATTATACAGCTTGTACTCATTATGCAGTATTGTACATTGATCCTCCTTTCATTTGCAGGATGTGTACTAGTTTGTGTATTAATTAACGCAGCGAGATACTAGGAAAGATTGGGGATTTTTAGTAATGCATCATGCTGAGTGCACTCAATATGTCATCTGCGTAAGCAGGTCAATTATTAAAGGGATTATTTTTCTAATCATAGTGGATAGATTTGTGGTCTAAACTGGAATTAGCAGAGCTGTTTGTTGGCAGGAGTTCAGATTTTAGGTTAAGTGTTAAGCAGAATTGATTTACTAGAAGGAAACTTAATTTTTTGGCAGGATTACAGTTGGCAAAAGGATCACAGAGTGGGCAAATACACTCACTGGCCACTTTATTAGGTACACCCAATGTTTCTTGTTGAGGCTGTTGTGGGAGTTGGTTGTGAACATTTCAGTATAATGCAGTTCAGTACAACCCCACCCCCTACTTAATAAACATAAGGTAGAATTACCACCTTCCTCACAGTGACACAGTGAGTTGGTGAAAATATAATTCACAGCAGAGTTGTTGTAGTGGATTACATTAAATCATACAGGTGTACCTATTAAAGTGGGCAGTGAGTGTGAGCAGGCTGGTATGCAAGTTAAAGGATGTTCAGATCAGTTCCAGGCGTGCAGGCAGGAGCAGAAGCTTAAACACTACAACAACAATGCAACAAACAGTAACTGAGCCAGGTGATGAGATCAGTGAAACTCCATGGGTGCAGAGGTGAGGCATGACCGGGTCTGAAGTATCAGCTGATTGTTGGTAAAAGCACAAAAACTGGAGAAAGCAGGTGAGGAGGAGAAACTAGAGGCAGAGGAGGCTAAAGCAGCCGTCACCATCACACCAGTGTTTAGGCTTCCCATAGAAACCACAGATGTGGAGCACTTGTCATGGGTATGTATGAATGCTGTTGAGCCTTTGTTGCTCATTATATTACTGCGAGAGGCCCACAGTGGGTTAATTATACGCAGAAAAAGGTGCGAATAAATGACCTATAAATATCCACTTTCAGTTGGTGCTAAAACAACCTCTCTACCACTCACAACCACCTCCTGATGTCCAACCTTAACATACTTTATATCAGTTTTTAAAATTATAAAGCATTTAGACACACATACTTCTGCACAGAGAACTCAAGGAGTAACTTAAATCATGGGTTTACAATTGTTCAAGGCTCTAAAAACAATAGGCAGGTTTCCATGTGAACACTGAATCAGGTTTTGTTTGCTGTAATCATTCTCCCTGTTCATACTGGACATTAAAGGAGCTATTTGCAAGTTTTGCTATTGCTACTAATTCAAAATTATGTGTTAAAACGAGCTGTCAGGACTTCCTTAACTTTGTGATGTCACAACAAAACAGTCACCTCCCTCACCTATGCCCCAAGCACGGCCCGCCTGGTCCCACCATCCTCCCTTGGAGGATTTGATTTTGATTTGTTAAAATGAAATGTGCTATATTTTTATTCAGTCACTCAGAAAAACAGTCAGCCTATTAGTCAGCTAATTAGAGCCAATTAGGAAAGCCTCTCTTCTCTGATTGGCTCACTGACCTGTTCAGCTCCAGAGAGAAGCCTGAGAGAAGAGATGAAAAAGTACATTGAGATGATTTTTGGTTTTTAAAACCACAAATACAGTATATCCCCATATGGATCAACACTTCAAATAAAACACAGGAAAAGTGTAAACTATGGCACCTTTCCTATCCTGTCATGATGAACTTTGAATGTAAGTGATGGGGACAAAATCCACAGTCCTCACTTTGTGCAAAAAAATAAAATTTATCTGGGGCTAATGTGAGGCTTTGACAGTCTGACACAGTCAAATCAAGTACATATTTTTCAAATGAAATCCCCTCTTTGTTTTTCCATAGACAGTTTCGCCTTTGAGCTTCAGCGGGAAGATAATAACAAAAAAACTCAAAAGAAACGTATCCTTTACCTCCTTTAACACAAATCTATGGTATAACAGTAATATTCACAAAAAGCTCAAGTTAAAACATCTAAACATGCATTTCTCGTGTCTGTTATTGGATTCAACACAATGACACTCTTCATCTCTCCTACGTGTATCATCACAGTGCATGAAGAACCTGAAGGACAGCGGGAGAAAAGGAATTTCGATTTCGAGTAATATTTGTTTGAGGAGAGCAGCGAGGTGACTTTGTTTTTGTTTGGTAGCGATTTAGTTTGAATGGGACCTTCTGAGAATTGGTGAATCGTGAACACAATCAAGGGCATGTAGGCTTATGAGCAGAACATAATTCAAAACACCATTGGGTGCTCCATCCCTCCTTATTAAGAATCACAGAAGGAACATAAAACCTGAAAGAAGGAGGCCAATTTACCCTGAAGTGCTCCTATTTTTCAGATGGATCATGACATGATTGGTGATTCACATGGTGAAATCTTGTTTTGTATAGCTATTAGTTGTTGACAACAGTTTATGTGAAGAAGAGTGTGAAAAATGACATTGTAGCTGCTCAGGCGAGTCTTGTTCAGCAGCAGCGGCAGAGTTTCTAAACCCTTTCAGCTGGAGGACATTTCCCTCAGTGTACAGTGTACATTTAAATAGCTGCACTTGCAGAATTTCCTGAATGTCAAGGGACAAGTTACCTCACTAATGCAGCAGTAGGGGTCTTCACTTTGAGATTACATTTTACAGTAATGTAAGAGATTGTGCTGTTTTGTACCTTAACATGTTTACATGGATGTTGGGTGCTTTTCACTCGCCCACTGTCCCCATCCGGCCCGTCTGTCCTGCAAGGCAGAAATGCTTTCTCAGCTCCCTCTTGCACACTGTGTTCCTCCTAAAATGCTATTACTTCATTGTCCTTGATATCAGGAGGGAGCTGCAAAACAAGAAAGGCTCTGGTTTCTTCCTGGGGCTAATTATACATTAAGTTCAAGTTAAATGGCCCCAGAAGCTAAAGACATTACAGACTAGGAGGGGTTATAGGAGGCAGGGTGGACTGCATTCTGCCTCTACAAAGACTTTAATGTTACATCTTGAAATATAGATTTTTTTTTCTCAACACTGAATCTCAAGCTTGAGTCTGTCTCCTGTGATAAAGCTTTAAGTAAGCAACCCAGTCAGTTTTCTGATTCCACACAAAAGTTGCAAACAGAACTTTCTCTGCGGACTGTTGGTGTTAAGAAGTGAAGGTTATCTATACAGAGATGTCAACAACAACTGTGTTTCCACTGGTGGTTGCCCTGGTTATTGTGGATGTGCTGTAAAAGTGATGCAATGTTGCGATTTTGTGATGTCTACGATCACCGTGCAGGACAATTTAATTTCATCATGTGGCTGCTCCAGCGTAGAGTCTTATATTACTGCACTCACAGACCAAAACAAAGAAATCCACCAAATTACACATTCAACAATATCCCACATGACATTTATTTGATGAGGACATCCATACCTGCCATAGAATATTATGACCTCTTAGAGTCCACTCTTCTCAGGTGACAATCATCACCACCTTTGTCACAGGGGTACCATGTACAGTAAGCAAAGGGGAGGACTCGGCAGCACAGCAAAAAAATAATAATAATGAAAATTTCAAAAATTTAAAATTTCAATATTATGAAAAGTATTGAATGTGGCGGGAAATGTTGTGATATTCAATATTATCAATATTCAGTATTATCAAATATCAGCCCAAGCTTAACACACATTGCAGTTTATTTTGACTAAATCCTGCACGCACTACAATGACCTGCTGTTTTATGAAATTACTCTGCCTTTTTTTTTTTTTTTTTTTTTTTTTTTTTAAAAAGATGAATGAACTCGTTGTTGGTGTAATGCTGTATTTCACTACTGGTTCACTTTCTCTAACACTCTGAAAACTGTGGTACAAACTACCCAGCATGCACTTTATGGTTGTGAGAGCCAGCATCAGTTGACATTAACAAACTTTATTTTACATTATGTTTTTTAAATCTATGTTCTGTCTATGTCCAGAAACGTGCAATGTAAATACAATGTATTTTTATCACTATTGAAGATGACTCACATGGTGATCACATGTTCATTTGCTGAAAACTTGAAATAATTGGTTCGACAGGCAAGTGATCTGTCATTCGATAGTATTCGTGGAGTGTGACGATGGCGGTGAGTGCCTTCCATTTGAAATCTTGTCCATTTGGACCCTGCCTCCTCATTATTATTAGGAGGCCACTCGTGTGACCTTTGGTGCTACATAATATTAATATTAGTGAATGAGGGCATTGCAAATTATCATTGAGACACCCTGTTGGTCTTTTCATGGGATTTGTTAACAGTTAAAAATATAGAGGACGACCAGATTTGTTCTTTAAATCACTAAGCTCATTATAGCTTCAGCAGGAGCATCCATTGTTATTCTTATTAGTTCTCCCTTTGTAGTCTTCCTGTCCAGCAGAGACAGTTCTGCACTGTTGTTGAGCCTGTTTTGCAAGTTTAATAAGAAGCTAATATTTGAAAACCATCTGCAGTGAAATGTGAAAACCTCTTAATCAACAAAAGTAGCAAATCTTACAGCTAGAAGGGACTACAGCGATCGATTTATAGACCAGGCTCCATGACCATCAATACCATCCCTCCATCCTCAACTCCCCTTTGCCCATAGGTAACCATTGATCACAGCGAGATGAAGGGTGAATGGGCGGATTAGGGTGATTTCACAGATTGGTGCAATGCCAATTGACCGTAGCTCTTAAAGACACAGTGCAGACACAGAGGCAGCTTCACGTGGGTCACTGAGGTTATCGTCCACTAACTCCACCTTTATAATATATACAACAGCTGCTCATGTACGGAGGCTTATCTATGCTGTGAGGATTTTTTTTTTTTTTTTTTAAAACCTTGCACTTGAGTGGTGGTGAGTCAGCCCATGTACATCTGAAGTGAAGCCTTAACAGCGTTGATTTGTAAATTTGCTCTAGTATTAAAATTACTCTATTATCTACAAACAAATAATCTCCCCTTGCTACAAGTCATCGGGTTGGGAGATGCTAGTGTTGGCTGCTGGAAAAAATAAATTAGTTTGACTACACTGAGGATTTATTCAATATGTTTGAAGATAGCAGGATCCTATATCCCCAAAGATCTGAGGTTGTCTAAGATTTCTATAAACCATTTAACTAATTCATTAATTCTGTTATGTTGCTATAGCATACATTTAACATGTATGTGGTTGCATTTGAGTGTGTGTGACGGGAGTAACTTCGCACTGCTTTGGCTTCATTTTTGAGTTTAGATTACCAAAGAGCCCTCGGAGACCACTGAGAAGATCGACTAGTCTCTTTCTGCTGTCAGCAAGCCGTAACTCTCCATCACGAGGATGAGCTGAGTGTTGGCCACAGGGGAGCAAACCGGTCAATGAGGCTTTGAGTCACAAATTAAAGGTCTGTATGGTTGCAGATAGCTTTACTAGTCTTTGGTAGCTTGAAAGCCAGAAAGCCTGTGGACACATTTTGTACCGCGGTTGTGGGTGTGAATCAACTAGTTGTTGGTGGCTCATGTGTGGGAAAACCTTGGATCAGCATCGTTAATTAAACTGTGGGGGATGATGACCTTTGCCGAGGGTTCATTACAGGATAGATGGGATAGATATCTCCATTGTGTCATGCAGGATGTTCTTACTGGGAAAGATGTGGTTGTTTGTCTATTGTCAAGTAAATTAACCTGGGACCTGAGTGTCCTTTTCCTATTTCCTCCTCTCTGCAGTGACAGTATTTTCTTCATTATTTCCATCAAACACCTGTTTTTGTGGGTTTTTTTTAGATTTTTTTTTTTTGTAAAATTATTTAAAAAAGGAAAAACTGAAATATCACATTGACATATAACGTATGTGGAGCTCTTAAGACCCCTTTGATTTCTTCTGCATTACATGGTCGTAGAAGTAGAATTTTATAATAAAGAGTTACAGAATCAATAAAAATGTCAAAAATGGACATTTTTATTCAAGTTTTCAATGCTGCTGACAAAACATTGCATACTGAATTAAGAAGTGTTTGGTTTTGTAATTTTTTGCAATAACTCAGTGACAGTTTGGTTTCACTTGTGGCCAATTCAGCTGACTGAGCATAAATTTCAGTGGAACAAACTGAAGCTGGGAGGCAGACGACTAGACGGGTATAACACAATTTATCTTTTATATTATTTTTCATAAACCATCTGTATAATGTAAAGAAAAGGCTGATGTTAATCCCGACAGATAAGACATTGATTGGCCTAACAGACAATATAATAGTGTCCATATTTTAATTTGTTCTTTACGCATGAACTATGCTGCGTGTTTGTCCATCCTAGGAGAGGGATCCCTCCTGTTGCTCTTCCTGAAGTTTCTTCTATTTGTTTCCCCCTGTTAAAGGTCTTTACAAAAAACCCCCCTCAGGCAAATTTATGATCTTTGATATTGGGCTATGTAAATAATTTGACTAAACATAACAATGATTTGTGCCTCAAACATAAATTGGTGGCAGTGTAACAGTAAGGCTGTGCTGATAACACACCACAAGAATAACAGTACATTAAATCAACCATAAATGAAGTAGGCCATTGTGAATGACAGAGCTGCAGTCTCACAGCGAAACACAGACCACAGATATAAAGCCTTATAAAGCTTATAAAGCCTCATCTGCTAATGGAAAAAAAGACATTTGTCCTCACATACAATTCTGAATCAAAAACTGTTGCATAAATGAATCCTATATGGAAGCCCTGAGAGGCAAGTAAGAAAAAAATTCTGGTGATCTATTTTTAAAGTCTGATCTCAGTTGTTTTTTCTCCCGTGTTTATGACTGAAGAGCAAGTGGAAAAAATGTTTTGTCAGGATAATGGATCATTTTCTAATACTAATTTCAGCTACAAGAGGCCGAATGCACCACTGTGCTAGTAAGCCTATGTAGAAACAGTTGAAACTGATAACCAATTCCTGATCCACTGTAACATCTGGAATTTATTTCCAGTCTGAGTAAACTTTACATTGGAGTAGAAGTTTGTGTTTTGATGATGGAGCCACATCAAGAATAGTTGCCCGCAATCAGTAGGCTTCTGTTCCTGTTTCATGTGCATGAATGGAAACACTACAAATTAACCAAGGCCTTATGATCAAATCCTTAAGTTAGGGTGTCATAGTGATCTATACTATTTACTGTGATCACCTTTGAATTAAGGCAAAAATGCCTCCAAAACACTTGAAGTCCTAAAGTTTTGTCTTCACTAGCTGTGGTGTAAAACTATTTCTTCGTCTGAAATCACATCCTGTTAATTATATAGTTCCCTACGTTTACCCTCTGCCATTTTATGAATGCCCATGTCCTGAAATTTATGGACTATATATAGTGCCCTGAAATTACCACTCAGAAACAATAACAACCCCACAATGTGACATGATGCATTTTATTGATGTGAAAATGACTGTTTTCAGAGTGTACACCTGTCAGTAATACAGAGTGTAGGGGAAGGAAAATGAATAAGAAAGGAAATAACTGTGGACAGGATTTATGATAAAGGCATCTTTTTCTTGTTTGTTTTCTGACAGCAGAACATCACGGTGTCTCTACCACCCACCATTACAGACAAAAACACTCCGGGGTATGTAACACCAGAGGAAAACAAACAATTCATAAAAGACCCATAAATGCCTTATTAGAAGGAAGGAGCAATTAAATGCCATGATAAAGTTTACAGAGGCGTTATAGAGCCCACTTCAGAGTATTTGCACACTGGCAGTTAATGGAGAAGCAAACTGATTTGCACTTTCTTTTGCCAGCGTTTTGCAAATTTGGTTGGAAACATAACAGTATTGTATATAGTGAATGTCCATTAACATCAGTGGCCAGTTAAAAAGCTAGATTCAAGACTAAAACTTTGCGTACGCATTCTTTTCGTCAGAATTTTAAATCTGTGCGTACACATGGTTCCACTTTATAAATCTCACTCATTGAGAAATTGGGCGCATGTGCACGGGCCTCATTTCCACTCCCACAGTTAGAATGAAGACACTCCCTTAATCAATCAGTTTGCATAAAAAGAAAAACCCCCACTGTCTCAGCCACAAGTTAGTTATCAGGCACAGAAAAAATGTTATTTCACCGATTGTGAAACTGAGGCTCTCACAAATGGCAGACAAAAACGTGCATCAGTTTACTTTAGTACAATCACAACAAATGTAAAGTCCTGTTTTACTCTGAACCTAATTTATTGGGACGAGAGAGTCTTAATTAGGCCGCCAGACAGGCGTCTAAAACTGTGATTAGTAAATATTAAAATAGTAATGAAACCCTTTACAGAAAGCTTCACAATAAATAATAAAGATATGACACGACGATAGAAAAACACATTGAGCACACAAGCACAATTATTTCTGTTTATGAATTGTGAAATTGTTATTTCTGTGTAAACGGCAAAACTTATAATGATAATGAATGCAAACTCTGTGAAGTTGCTTATTTTATGTTAAATTACATGTCTTGGCTTATTCTGTATTTTCACTTCAGTGTAACTTGGATCGCTTTGGAAAGTCGTGTGTACACATGGTCAAAAGAATGCCAGGTGTGCACATCCTGTGTTTATTGATACTAATTTGAGTCTGGGAAATGGCGTACACATGTTTTTTGTGTGTACGCATCATCTATGATCTTAAGAGTGTGTTGGAGATGATTCCATATGTGTGGTGCACTAAAACTAAAGGCAGATTTACCAAGTTCAGAGTAAACCCGCAGGACTTGAAGCCAGTTAGTAGAGTGAGTTTGGTGTTCCAGTCCAGCATAGATGTTATATCGGGTGGCGGATGTCCAATAAGAGCTTTATGAAAAGGTACAAGTGTTTATCACACCTCTGCGCCAGAGTTTGTAAATGGATTACTGGATTCCTCTTGTGAAAAGAAGTTGTGGATTTTCTTCTCACAGAAAAAAAGATATTCAGGGTGGTAATGTTTTGTCAGTAGTATTTGTGCAACGTACTGATTTTGGGGAAAGACAAAAAAGTGCTAGCAGAAATGTAATCCTCTGTGAAAACGCAGTGAGTTGTATACAATCTGAAACCACTGGTCTGACTGTTTCCTGACGGTTCATTTTAATACAGTTATTCTAGCTACGGAGTACGTCTGTCTTCTTCACCAGTGCTCTATAATACATCATATCCCCTTCCCCTATAAACTCGTAATACGAGTGTCTGTGCCACATCTTGGCAGCTCTGTCTAAGCTCACTGTCTGACAGCTCCGCACTGCAAAACCCTGATGGTGAGACATTCATCAAGGCCGGGGAAATATTGTTTGACTAACAATAACAGTGTTTTTATTGATTTGCTGTCGCTGTGAGTTGCTGCTTATGAGAAACAGCAGCCACTGAACACAGAGCCTACACATGCATACAAACGCACATGCACATCCACATACTGTACACACACATAATTACAAAAAGCTTTGTAGTCCTGTGGTCTTTTTTTTTTTCCTTCTCATGAACCGCAGTGATAAAATATGGCAGAGCTCAGGTAAAACCTCTGCTGACTGAACGTTTGATGGCTCTGAATTATCTCTCGGTTTAATCCTAAGGAATATCAGATGGAAGCTTCCACCTGTTTGTGCTGAAATTGAATTAATTTGAGGAAGTGAATCCTCTGCAGTTTTGGTGTCCTCGGGTGCATCTAACTAGAAGGTGATGATTAAGACGTTGGAGAAAATCAACATATGTGGGATGAAAAATGGGAGCAGTGCCAACAAAACAAAACAAAACAAGGATGTACTACTATTTTTTATTTCTTGTGCTTATTTTGTGCTCTTGGCTGGGCAGTGAAAATCCCGCTTCTCAGTTTTGATAGCTGTTTATGTGAGAGACAAATAAGTTTGCTTGTCCTCTCTTGTCTTAAACACAGGTGTCCCAAGGTCCTGTCCCACCTTCGTCCTTCACTGGGTGGCTTTTTCTTGTGATACAGTTCAGTGACACAGCAGATTACGATTCATCAGGCTTGTTTTTCCTCAAGGTAAGCTGCTGCATTTTGTGTCTCTGGGTAATATTTTTGGTTCCTTGTGTAAACAGAATATAGACATATTTCTCTAACTGTAGCTCTTCTAGGGTTAAAGAAACTTTAAATATGGAAAACCTCCCGTTATCATGACTTGGGAGTGAGTCCAAGATGGCTGCCCCCCACTACTGTTATCATCACAACATTTAAAGAGCCTAAATTAGCCTCTTTTGTCATGTTTTAATTTGTTGTGTTAATAGCTGCTTTCAAATGAGCTGAATCTATTGTATGACTGTTAATATTAGATTTGATTCAGATGTAACTGCAAACAGTGATGGACCTGCAGCCATGTTGATCTCTTTAACTGAGGCTGATGAGAACAATTTTTCCCGACTAGGCATCTCATAATTACAGCCTCAACTGAGTGAAGTGAACATGGCATTAGCTTCCAATGGAAACTGATCAAAATACAAAATATAACATAATAAATAATATAATATATGATATATATAAATATAGCGCTGTCGCCTCACAGCAAGAAGGTTCCGGGTTCGAGTCCCGGCTCGGACGCGGGGTCTTTCTGTGTGGAGTTTGCATGTTCTCCCCGTGCTTGTGTGGGTTCTCTCTGGGTACTCCGGCTTCCTCCCACAGTCCAAAGACATGCAAATGGGGACTAGGCTAATTGGTTACTCCAAATTGACCATAGGTATGAATGTGAGAGTGAATGGTTGTTTGTCTCTGTGTGTTTGCCCTGCGATGGACTGGCGACCTGTCCAGGGTGTACCCTGCCTCTCGCCCGAAAGGATGCTGGGATAAGCTCCAGCCCCCCCGCGACCCTACTAGAGGAAATATAATATAAATATAATATAATATAATACAAAAATACAAAATACAAAGATTTCCTGTTCTAGATTCAAGTTCAAGTTAAAACGGTTGCAGACTAATCACTACCTCAAATGGATAGAGACTGAATCATTGCGCTTCACACAGCTCTTCACTGAAACAAGGTTTTATCCATTTGAAATAGTAAAATATTTTCTAGTTCATTATGAAGCTGTGTATATGGGCTGGATTGAAGTGGCATTCTCCATGTTTCTCTTGCCAAAGGCTAACACTGTGGTATGAAATGGAAATGGTCGACTGATCTATGTCATGATGACTCCAGGGAAGAGGGGACTGTAAATATTTGCTAAACTCTGACCAAAGGTTGGATGTCATCCTTGTGGACATTAATTTTATTACTCTGGAATTCATTTTGGGATAGTAGAAATGCCCCCTGATACAAATCAGTCTGGGAAGTCTTGTGCTCCGTCTACAGTAATTCTGCCTCATTGTCCCACCCACACAAACTTCTCTGCCATTGTGACTCATGATCAACTCTTTTCTGTTTTTATTTGTGTATCTTTAATGGTTTTCTGCTGCGCTATAATACTTTCATGTAAATGCAGGAAGCATTTCTCGTGTAGGGAAAATGTCCAGTTTCATTTTGAGACTCCATTTTCTCTACTTCTGGCAAAATGAAATAAATAAATTGATTAAATGTCATCATAAAGGAAAAATATTACATTGAGAATTAGCTTTTATGCTTGACCAACCTTGACCCACCACACATACTCATACACATCTGTCTGTCATGGCTTGACTATGCAATTATCGTCATTATTGCACTTTTGTCAGTGGCGCAGTTGTTCGTGTCAGACTCATCATCGCCGTTGATTCATTTTGTGGAGGCTGATTTGCTGCTTCACCTGAATTATAAGTGTCTGCAGGCTGTCTCCACAGAGCAGACACCTGTAAGAAAAAAAACACACAAACAAAAAAAAACCCTGCAGCATGTCTCAGTGTCTCCTCATAACTCCGCTCATATTACACCTAATGACAACACGCCACCAGTTGTCCACAAATGAACATCATCATGTCATTCCTTTACGGGACAACGTGTGGGCAGGAGAGTTTGCCTCGTACCTCCTCTGTCACTCAGGGTTTATTCATCATCAGCATGATTTTCCAGAGCTGTCAGTGTGTGTGTCTGTGTATTTGTCTTTGTGTGTGTGTCTGTGCGCGTGTGCTGCTGAACAGCATGACGAATAGGTCCGCTGTCGAGTCTTATGTCACTGTCAGGACCCACAGCCGCCGTCAACAACACACCCAGGAAACATTCGTCGTGCAAACATTTCGAAGATACAGGCACCTCAGAGGAGACATTTGTCTTTTCTGGCTGTTTTTCAGAATGACATGATAAAAAACAGTCTTTGGTAATAATTTTGTCAGAAATTTCCATTCCCATTGCCTTAAATCTTCCCCTTGCCTCAAGGCCCAGGAGGTGGGGATAAATGCAACAATAACAGCACCTACAGGTTACCTTAAACATTTCTCCTGCTGAGATTTAGCAGTTTTGCCCAAATGAGAAAAAAAAATTGACAGTTTAAGTTTCGACTGATGTTTCCCTGCGGCTGCCTTTATTGTTGCAGCTAATGTTTATGTAAAGCAGTGAGTGATTTTTGTGGAAACAAGATTGGTTTTGTCAGGTACACAACCCCACATTGAGTTGTTGCTTGCATTGCTGCGTTTCCTGATTGGCACTCTCAGCGGTACACGCATGCCCTGCTATTTTATTTTTTGCATTAAGTACAGCTGATTTCACCTTTTCAGCACTGTTTTCTCCTGACGTGCATCCAGCCTCCCCTCCCTGTGCTCTGTGGAAAATAACAGTGGATCACCCGAAGCAGAGGTTTCACTGCCTTGTGAATCAGGTGTTCACATTTGAAGAAATCTCCATAATTACACCCTGGTTGCATTGCTTTCCCTCTTGCTTTTTTGTATGATGACATTGCACACTGACAGCGACACAGCCGGTTGATGTTTTTTTTTTTAAATTGCCACTTGTACCAGTTTTATTTCATTAGTCTCACTGATTAATTTTTATCAATGTTCTGCTCTGTGTCACTCTTGTGAATTACAGTAATTAAATTTTTTTCCTCTGCAGTGCAGCGCTGCATGCTAACCCTTTTTTTTTTGTTAGGAAAGAAAGTGGCAGCAGAGAGGTGGACATTTTCTCTTATGCATTTTTTTTAGTTTGCATGCAAGCTTTGGATTTATAAAAGAATGACTGACAGATTTCGCAAAATTTCTCTGTCAGAGTTTCACCTTTATTGTGGAGGAGGCTGAGTCTCAGGTTTGACCGAAGCAGAGCAGAGATTAGCTTCACCTGTTTCCAAGAAAAAAGTCTGAAAAGGTCAAAACTACAGCAACATTTGTAGAGGAAGGAACAACAAGACCAACTCCTTTTAGCCTCAGGTTCAACAGATGGATGAAATATCAAATTTAATTGGATAGCAGTTGTGTGATAAAATGGGGTTTAATTAAGTGAGATACTGAGAAATGTGACAATAATTTGTTTATTCTGCAGTATTGAACAATAAAATGAGGAATTGTTGCTGTTGAATAATATAAGAGATGTGTGTATATACAGTGGTTTCCAAAAGTCTGAGACCACCAGAAAGTGTGAATATAGATCTGATATCACCTCCATCCTCTCCTAACTTAAGGGCCGGGTCCCTCCAAAGGCTCACAAGATAAATCTGAGGGTAGTGAGACGATTAATGGCACATTAAAAACAAATTTATAATTTTTTTCTCTAATCTTTGCTTTTCAGTAAAATATTGAATAATTTCACCTCTTTCGCCTCAAACAGTAATTGAAATGAAACCATTTGAGAAGTTTAGAGGGGAAAACTTTCTGCTTGAATCTCATAGACACCTGAAACATGACAAGAACCCCCGGGAGACTATTTGTTAAATTCCATTTATTACATAATGGTGATGAACACTGACTGAAGGGCTCCCCTGGCAATGCTTTTGCCTCGGACCCCAACGGACTCTAGCATCACCACTGGCTGGGCGTATACTGGGCCAGGATAAAACAAGCACGTGGCCCAAGTTGCCACAGTAAAAGTACTTTCTCCTACTGCCTTATAGTGTCAGGTGCAGTTACAGATGCTGTCATGTGCTGGTTTGAAGCGCAGCATTAACATACTGTTGAGTTTTTTTTTCTTTCTTTTTTGAGAATGATACTCAAAAGTTTTCCTTGCATGTTTTTCTTCTTGTTATTTTTGGAGAGAAACGGCTGTTTTTTAATCCTTAATGCCAGTGTTATGTTGTGTTCTCCTCCTCCATCTGTGTTTTTTTTTATTTCAGGGTGCTAGTAATCTTTCCTCTCTGATTTGTGAACATATCACCATAGCCTTGTTCCTCACGGTCTCTCTCTTCTTCCCCAAGGACACAGGGAGGACAATGGGGGCTGGAGGGGTTTCCCCCCAAGCCCTGCTGTGGCTCATCCTCTTTGGCTTGATCTCTCTGGTGTTTCCCCTCAACCCGGATGACCCCAACGTGTGCAGCCACTGGGAGAGGTCAGATTCCCTAAATTCAATCAATCTCTTCTCCAATTTTCACAGTGAAATAACACATCTGAAAACTGTGTAGTGAACTAATGTGCTGCCCGCCACAAATCAAGACTGAGGGGTTGCCAATAATCAAAAGCAGAAAGGAGAAGGTTTACTCCTGGGGACACACTGAGGCTGTAAATTCAGACCAATGGCAATGTGACTGCTTGAGTGGTCTCACCACTCAGCGCTCTGTTGAGTAAAAGCACACTGTCATTTCTTATGAGAGCAGCTCAAGTGCAGGTGCTGTGATCGATAATCTCTCAGTTTAATCAGCGGGAATTGTGGAAATGGATTTTTATCTTTGATGACCATTACAGTTTCCACTTCTTGCCTAAGGTTAGAGTCAGTTCAGTAACCTTATTCAAGTTCTCAGCATCAGGTGGTTATTGTTAGGGGAAAATAAATCAGCACAGAACAACAGAGAGGTAGAAATCAGAAGTTGTTGTTGTTGTTGTTTCAGAATTTTTGATAATCCTGAAAATTTGTGGTTTGTAGGAAAAAGAAAAATAAAAGAAAGAATCGATCGAAACCTTTTTCCATATTTAAAAATGGCTCCACAAGGACATGTTTTGCCCTCGGATCGATACTTCACATCCTGATGATTTGTTTTGAAAAGTAAATGTTATTGACTTGATCATCATCTGAAAGATTTTCCTCTGTGATTTTGAGCTTTTAGAAATATTCTGTCCTACTCCAACACAGCATGCTATTTTGAGTTTTCAGTTTTCTCCAAACCTTCGAGAGTAATTGGAAAAATCTATGTATTTCATGTTGTAGTGCTGATACTGATTTTTTCATAATTTAAGATTATAAATTGAACTATGAATCTATTCTTATCAGATGTTTCTAGGCTTCCTGTTAAGTTGTGGTTGGTTTTTTTTTTGTCTCTGTAGCTATGCAGTGACTGTGCAGGAGTCTTACGCTCATCCATTTGACCAGGTCTACTACACCCGCTGCACCGACATCCTCAACTGGTTCAAATGCACCAGGCACAGGTAAGGACACAGGCAGCAACACATCTTTTGCTAACACTGCAGAAACTACAGATTTTTTTCATTATCATTTAATCTCTTGATTGCTTTTTGACAAACTAATTTACAACTATAAAATGCCAGAACATATTGAAAAATGCCCATCATGATTTTTTTAAAGTCCAAGGTGACATTTCTCAGTTGATCAACCAACTAATTGAAAATCCAAAGATTACTGATTTACAGTGACACAAAACAGATCCTCACATCTGAGAAGATGGAACCAGAGAAAGTTTGGTGTATTTTTTGATAAGTGACTTAAAAAGTAACAGTAACTTAACAATAAATCCACCTTCAGGTTGTTTGCCCTTTCAAAACAGAAAATACATTTTACAGTTTACTCTATCTACACCGGATTATGTCATGTTTACTCACGCAGTGCCACAACCTTAAACCTCTTAATGCCATCTACCACAGAGCTACGGTATTTAACCAATTACTGCAGACAGCTATCACAATCTTCCCTGTGAGCTATATGAAAAGGTCAGAGGTCATCACTGCCATCCAGGAGGTGTCAGCGCACCTGTATTTTGATTAATAAACCCAGGCTGTCTAGGTTGTTGAGATATTTATCATCCTTACTTGAGTTCAGAGGGAATAGCCATGACACCAGAGTAATGAGCTGCAGTGAACTGGAATGATGCGTTCTGGGTAACTCTTTAGTTTGTCCCACTAATTAACATTTATAAGCAGCATGCAGAGAATTGATAGTTTGTAACACTATCATTTAGTTGTCAGCAGCTTTATGGGTGTTTTCAGGTGTTTATCGATCTGATTTATTGATTACAATATTTGTCAGCAATCATTATTAATATTATAATTTCTCATAAAAAGACATATTTTACCATATTAATAAATACTTACAACTGCTTACAACTACATTGTAATGTGTTATTCATTAAATGATAATATCCTGTTTATAAATGCTGAATAATGGTGTTTTGTTCTCTCTGGGTCTCAGTGAGTGTTTATGATTAAATAAAGCTTTTACAAAAAAGTACCTATTGTAAACACAAGTGTGGACTATTAAATGCATGTAAAACAATTAATATGATCAGGTTTTCCATTCTTTGATGTGTCAGAGACATCATCCATCTGAGTCAGATCAGACGGAAGATGTCAAACCTTATGTACAGGATGTGAGACCCTTCTGTTGCTGAGGATCAGAGGCAGTCAGACACAAACTGTCTACTACTCAACACTGACAGTTCAGCACTGCCTGATGATGTGGTCATTCTGATGAGCGACTGTCGGCGTAGCGGCTTTAATGACCACATTAAGCTTTATAGCTACGAGTTCAGCTCCTCCAGCTGAGAGCTGAGTCATTGATCTTAAACTGAAATGTCAGAAAACATCAGCGTCCTTGAATGAGTGGGAGAAACTCTCCTTAACGGTTAAGTGTTGCTCGTCTTTTAGAAGTGGACGAATGTGAACACATTTTTAGAACCTCTGCCTCATTCTGAGTAACATGTGACCTGCTGGTTTATTTCTTTATTGTTTTTAGGTAAATATACTTGAACTATTTTAGTGGAAAGAAAATGTGAATTTAGGTTAAATCAGTCTCCTGATATGTAAATTCAAAAAATATTAAGTAATTCTTATTTGGAGCTTTGTGAAATAAGTAAAAATGTAACTTGCTGACTGCGCATGAAAAAACCTTTTTATATTTATTTTCATGAAGAAACAAACCTCTGCGTGTCGTAACATGACTGAAGTTTTTCAAATTAATGTAAAGGTCCAATATTTTAGACTTTTCCTTTATTTTATTTGATGTATTGATCCATAAAAAGATTTGTGGTTTTTCAGGACCAAAAACCATCTCAAAGTAGTTTAACAATTCCTCTCCGAGGCTTCAATCAGAAGCCAATCAGAAGAGAGGCTCTGGGCTGACTGTTTTCTGAGTGATGGAATAAAAATATAGCATTGTGTCTCTCATGTTGTCACTTTTAACGCATAAAATTCTCGGGTGTTTGTGTGCGTGTGTGTGTGTGTGTGTGTCACATGTACAGGATAAGCTATAAGACAGCCTACAGGAGAGGTGTGAGGACCATGTACAGGCGACGCTCTCAGTGCTGCCCAGGCTTCTATGAAAGTGGAGACCTGTGTGTTCGTAAGTTGTGTTGAGTCACCTTTTTGGTTTGGTTCAATTCAGCTAGGCAGATATTTATACAAATATAAATAAGGTAATAAAATGTGAGGGTTTAGGCTCTACAGTTGTAATGTGGCGTTCCTTTGCCTGCACAGAATCAATTACTTGAAACTCAAACCTCAGAGAGTGTTATCATGGCTGACAAACTCCCATGCGAAATGTCATCCAATCACAAATCTCAGTCATTCTTTTCATGTTTATAACAGATTTTTATCTCGCTTTTTTATCATAATGATCATAAAATACAAATAATTATATATAATAAGTAATTCCTCACGAAAAACACATATCAAGCTCTTTACAGAATATTACACCATTTTATGTGTCTCAGTTTAAACCTGTAGCACACACAGACAGAAGAAGTAGTCAGGATAGCCAGGGTGTCCCAGTCCTTGGAGGAAATTATCAATAAATTGGTGATTTTTCTGAAAAGTTTGTATGCAGAGACACTGGGAAACAAGACAGAGCTGAATCTCGTCGAGCTGATGATGACCTAATTTGCTCCGGGTGTGTAGCTCTACATAGGAAAGAATTCTTGCTGGTGTTGTGATGTGCGGCGTTCATATCTATCCCTTGGTTTCACAAGTGCTGTATGACTGAGTCGAGAAATTCCCATGTTCCCATAGGAGATACACGTCATTTACTAAGAATCAGGTGAGAGGAGGAAGACGACAGAGGAGTTTTGAAACAGCTACAGTAAACCTGTTTTTTCCTGAGGGTCTGAGGGAAATGTGGGGAGGTGGAAATTTGGCCCAAATTGCTTGTGACTGTAAACGATCTCAAAGCTCTCAAGTCAATCTGTTGCTAACTGAAGCTAAAGAAACCTTTGCTATCACCACCTGCAGTTAAACTCCTATGTCAGAGATGTCCAGCCAATCACAAATGATTATTCCCAGTGGCTGTGATTTAAAGCAGCGGTTCCCACACAACAGAGAAGGGAATTATTAGAGAAAAGTTGGGTTTCATCTTGTGCCCAATAAGAATAACAAAGACAGCGTTGGGTGATGTCATGAAATAGTGTGGGATCATTGGAGTTGTTTTCTTCACCATCATTGCTGTAAGCTTCTCCTGGTTTGGATTCCTTCATTGTCAGTTGTTCAGGAGGTTTTTTACCTGGAGCTCAATTATCTGCAGAGGTCTCCTCTTCAAAACAAACAGACCAGGTGATTGTAACCGTTAAAAACACTGAATAAAGCCGTTTTACATTTAAAGTAAGTGTTTCACAGACACAGACATGAGACGTCAGGGAGGGGTTGTGGAGTTTAGATTGCTGCTAACCTTTGTTTTGATTGTTTCACTGATAATTTATGATTCAGGCGTTCAGGAGGTTTTTACCGGCAGCCTAATTATCCACAGAGGTGTCCTCCTCTTCATAACAACTGATCATTCACATAACACTGAATGAAGCAGTTTCACATTAAAATCTGTGATTCACAGATGCACCATGGTGAACACAGGACTTCTCAGAGCAGCTGAGAGCTGATCTGTCTAACATTTGCTTTTTTCTCTGACAAAACTGACGACCGATGATTAAAATCCTTTGTCTGGTTAAAATATGTAGTTGAAAACGATCCATTGGTAAAAAAAAGTGTTTCTTAAAAATGTGACTTAAAACTGGGGAAAAGTCCGTTTTGAGCAAATGCACACAGAAGATATGATGTCATTGACAGGCGACCAAATGAAAAAGAGCGTGAGAAGTGATGGAAACATTTAGGATAATGTACGTGCACAACTCAAAAAAATAAGAAATAACATGGGTCTAGTCGTTTTTAGACATTTTAATATGGAGATGTTACATATTATACACCAGATAACGTGTCTTTGTTTCACGTGTGGTCATAGTCGACTGTAGTTATATACTTGATTTTGAGGCTGATGAAAGACACTTGATTTTCAAAGTGCAACACAACTGGATACAAACAGCAACAAACGTGAGCTGTCGGTGTCTGATATAACAGCGACACAAAGACCCAGTAAACGACTGAGTTCACTTTCTGAATGAACAAACATGTCACTTCTCTCATCAGAAGTTAATACATATTGCTCTCTTCTTATATAAGTGAAGTATTGCTGCTCTGTTAATGCTACAAACGCACGTTGGGTTTGAAGAAATGGCAATAAAAACAAATCCAACATTGCTGCTTCCTATCAGACAGAAACTTACAGCTGGATATAAAAGATTCCCACCACAGGGGAACGTGCGCTCTGCATAACGTCTCTGCAACAAACAAAATCATTTTCCTGTCATCTGCATTGTTATTTTCAAACTTTTTCCACTTGATACACACAAAGTATCCAGGCTTGTTAAAATTGCAGTGTATCTTGTGGAACAGTGATTCAATCTTGGTCGTTATCTTTTCACTTTGCGCCAGGCAGTTATCTATATCTGTTGTTGGAGCTGTCAAAGTTAGATCAATCCGGCTCTGGATCCATTTCTACTTAAAGTCTGACCACAGAGAGCTTTGAAATAAACGTATTCAGAGGGGAAAAAAGTAGAAAAAGGTCTCAAACACAACCTCAAACAAGCTGCAAGCAAAAAAAAAACTGCTAATAAGGAGTTATACATCAGATATCTCCACTCTGAAGATATGTTGTTTGTACAGTAGCATCTTCTTGTATTGTGGAGTGCTTTACAGGGCAAATCAGGCTGTGGCTTTTTCTTCCTACGTTGCCTTTAATGTTAAGAACAAAAAACCTAAATATATTTCTGTACAAGAAAATGTCTCCATATCCACAGATGAGGAGAATGTGTGTGGTGTTTAGCTTCATTTACTGCTGCGTGGGATGGATCTTTGAAAGCTGAAAAGTTTGGTCAGTGGGATAAAATAATATTTCTTTACGCAATTATTTTTGTTTGAAGCTCTCAGTGATTTCTCAGTCAAAGAGAAACGAAGCGTCAGACTGAGCAGAGACAACAGATCATCACTCAGAGCTGCTACGACACACACATACAGTTCTTCCTTTAACCGTGAACCCAGCCTTCCCATACAGAAATGTAATATATATGAAGTATATGTCCTATATCAATAGTGGTGTTGCCATATATGTTAATTATATTATTATAGCATATATACATCCACTGGATATATGAAGATATACATTTATAGCATATATGAAATACCCATAGTAAAATTTGTACATGTACATATATTAAGAAAATGTCTATATGATGAATTTTTATTTGGTATAAGATGTTGCAACTATATATGTTAATGATATTTATTTAATTCATATATGCAGGTTTATTAAAATAAGAAGATATTTCTGTTATTTAGGCTCCCATTACTGATAGTAATGGGGTGGACAAAATAATAGTCTGTATGATGCAACACAATTCAACAAAATAATAAAACTGCAGCCTCCAAAATGAATGAATGAATGAACATTACAACCTTCATGAGGGAGGATTTATTGCAGGACTGTTGTATTTAGCTACGTGGACATCATAAACTGTCAACCCAGTGTGTGTGCCACCAGTTAGTTTCTCCAAAACACAGCTTCAGTGAACTTGTGAACGCTGAAGGAAAAAGAAGGATTTTATGTTAGAGGAGCAGGTGCAACTTGAATTTATTAAGTAATTACTAACACTGATTTTAAAAACATTATCTCATGTCTCATGGTGAAAGAATTCGGAAGAAGACTTGTCCTTTTATTTAGCCTCTAGCCAGCCAAGATTAGTGTACAGTGGCTGAACATTTCTGCGTTAATTTATCAACTTCTACAGTAAAGTGCGTAGAGCGAAACTGGACTACCAGCTGGATTTACTGTGGCAAGGCAGAAGTCGTGTTGGGAGGTGATCATACAAATCCTTTAACAGACTGAATATGATTTTTTAATGTTCTTCATAAATGAGTCATTTTTATTGCAACAATACTTCCTCCATATACCTTCTCTGTCCGTCCATCCACCTGCGAGCAAACACAGACTGATAATAAACTGTGAAAGTTAGAAAGTCCAAAAATCCAAACGTGTCAGAAGAAAAAAGTCAGCTTTTGTGAGAGAAAAATAAAGAGTATCTCCTTGCTCAGTCTTTATCTTATGCTGGTCTACCCTCCTTGATCCAGCAAAAGAAATCAATTATCCACTCTAGATGGTAAATTCTATAGAGTGGTGTTGCCTTTTCTTATTGTAGAGAGGAGGTGAATGGGTTTGCCTGGGGGGAGGGGGGGGGGGGGCGGGGGGGGGGTAAAGGGAGTTGTTATTGTGTGTCTTTATTCAACATCTGCTTGTAAACAACTTTATTAGATTCTCCTGGGGGACATAGACAAATACCCTCCACTCCATTGTGTGACGCCACACACACACACACACACACACACACACACGCACACACACACACAGCCTCCTGCTCTATGGATCTGAGTAGCTTGAACGCCAGAAGCTACCTACGAGGAGACGCCTGCCTGGTCCGCTAATGTTAACGGCCTCGGACGGGTCTTTTGTGTGATATGCACGGCTTGAGCTAATTGAAAGGTTCCCTCTCTGGCAGAGAAAGAGGGGAGGGGTGGGGGTGGGGGGTTGCTAAGTTGATTAGAGGGCTTTCCTCTTTCTGTGTTTCCTGGCTCTTGTGTAGTCACCGTTTTTCATTTCCCGTTTATCTGTATCTTTGAGATAAACATGCAGTTATGTGCAGGATGTAGAACACGTTTACTGTGTTTGCTTCCAGACTTTAAATGTTTAGGCAGTCGCCCTGAATCGATCTCTCTGTGATGTTCCCTGACTTGATGTTGGAAGAATCCTTTTGTAATTTTTCAGCTCAGCCTGAGGCCGTTTTACCTCTTGTCAGAAAAATTTCTCCTTCAGTTGTCTTCTTTTCATTCTTGGTCCAGCTAATTCTTTCCTCTCTTTATGCCTCCGTGCTGGCAACAGCTGCGGCCTGAGGCATCATGTATGTCCCATCCTCATGAACAGGATATCTCAAGATCGCCTCGAGAGAATCTCTTCAAATTTGGCACAAATGT